AAACAAGTACAACTGACATAGTCTGATTTATGACCAAACAATATTGATGTGACAAATATATATCTGAAAACAATATAGTATTCATAAAAATAATCCTTTATTTTTGTAGTCAGTTTATAGATACACATCTCTGTATCCATCTATACCTGTCTATGCCTATATGCGCATGTATATATTATAATAATAAGTGCAACTAGCCGGAATCTGGGGACAAATATGGTTGACATAATAAACCTAAGAAAACTAAAATAAATAGTGACTTACTAATGTACATAATTTCACGTGTGCACAGAGGGCTGGGGTTATAGCTCAGTAACATAAGCGCCTGCCTGGCAAGCTTTAGGTCATGAGTTCGATTCCTGGTACAAAAAACAAACAAACAAAAACACATGCACACAGAACACTCGATATGTTTTGTAAAAAAATGGGAGGATAGGGGCTGGGGATTTAGCTCAGCGGCAAAGCGCCTGCCTGGCAAGTGCAACGTCGTGAGTTCGGTTCCCGGTACCGGAGAAAAACAAAACAAAAAAACAAAAAACAAAACAACAACAACAACAAAAAAAAATGGGAGGACATGGATTAATCCCACAAAGCGTTTGGTGCTCAAATAAGAAAATTAGTCTTAGTAAACAAGAAAGAAAGCAAGTAGATGAGAGAAAATGGAGAAGGTATTTAAGAAGATGCTTTGTCCAATAAAAGCCTTGCTGGGCAAGTGATGTATAAGTTGAGAGATGAGTAGGAGAATCAGTTAGGCAATCAAAGTTTTATGGAGGGGCCAGAGATATAGCTCAGTGCCACAAGAACCTGCCCAGGAAACAGAAGGTCCTGAGTTCAATTCCCAGTACCAAAAAAAAAAAAAACAAAACAACAAAAAAACAGTCTTGGGGAAAAAATGGGGGATGCCCTTGCATGGGAAACTGCAAACACAGCGACGAAAGTAAGTTTGGCAAATTCAAGGAGAGGAAACTATGCTCAAAGTGTTTGCAGCAGTGAGTGAGGAGATTTTGGTATACTGAGGAACAACACTACCCTTGGGGCTTTCTATAGGGTATAATATGGGCTTTGACTTTATTCAAAGATCAGTAAAAGTCATAAGAGATTTTTTTAAAAAGAAAAAGTTATTTTTCTATTTTCTTTTAAATCACTGTGGTTGCTATACAGAAATAGCATAGTGGATCATTTTAAAAATGTATTTATTCATTCATTGATTTTTTATCTTACAGTACTAGGGATTGAATTCAGGCCTTTTACACTGAGCCACATTGCCACCCCTTTTTTGAGATAGGGCTCAAACTTGTAATCCTCCTGTCTCAGCCTCCCACAGTGCTGAAATTACAGGTGTATGTCACCATGCCCATCTCATCTTTTAAAATTAGATCATAGCAGAGATATCTTTAAAGTTCTATTATGTGCACTGGACATGTCCATTCTTGAGTTATTAATATTTACTATTAGAGTATCAATTTCTTATTTTGTGACCATACTTTTAGTTCAAAAAGCAGGTAACTGTTGCTTTGGGTTACTTTTATTAAACTAAATATTTGTAGAAATACATTGATTGCTTTAGCATGTCAGGGCATTCTTTGAATAACAGATTTATAAAAACTTATGAATAAAAATCACTGTTTGCTCTGGATTTTGGTTTGTTGTGGTCAGTTTTGCAGAAATATACTTGCTGAACCAGTTGCAGAACCACTTTTTTTTCCTTATTTCACATTTGTCAAGTTGTACACTAATAAGTTCAATTTAATCAGTAACTGTGTTTTATACAAAATGAAAGCAGAAGTTGTAAACTCATAGTATTACAGGGATTTGCAGGAATTGTGTAAATCAAACCTAGTATAAAATCGTAGGAGTGGGTACAACCTATAGCCAAATTGGAAACTTTGTGAGTGGTGGTGTTTTCAGTCCTGATTTATTTTGCTATATTGATTTAACATTATGAACAAGAATGATGTTGGAGAGAGTGTGGCTTTAGGAATGGTAATGCCTTGTGCAAATCCAGTATGTCTTTCTATTACATTATTGACCCCACTGTGCCATTTTAAATGTGGTACACATTTTCAATATTACTGATGTGAATGTTTAAAACAAGAGAAATTTGGAACTGAATTACAGTAATTGTATCTTTTTCTGAGGAAGATTAACTTGAAATTACTGGAGGCTATTTTGTACTCCAGGCAAAAAGGTAAGGTAGTTATACAATCAGAGGTAAACAGGTACATTGATGTTATCATAGATTTTTAGAGTAGAATTATTGAAGAATTTTTTTAATGTAATAAGATAGCTCTGCTTAAAACAAATAATGACTGGTGCATGCCTGTAATCCCAGCATTTGGGAGGCTGAGGCAGGAGAATTATTACAAGTTCGAGACCAGCCTGGGCTACAAAATGAGCTCAAGGCCAGCCTGAATTGTATAGTGAGATCCTGTCTCAAAAAAACTAAATAAATAAATAAAACAAATAATGACAAATTTGTGGCTTCATTTCTTAATACTGAAGAGATTATCCATTCCACTTCTTTGAGAGACAAATAACTTAGTAGATATGATTTTTTAATTGATCAACTTTTGTTACACATCTGAAATTAATTCCAAATGTTTATAGACATTATGTATACTGAATCATACAAAATTAATTATGCTTGAGACTACTGTGCATTTTGTTATAACTCCTTGATAATTACTTATAACTACCTTTGGGTAGTTAACGCCTAGTTGATTTTGGGTAAATTAACTCCCAGTTTTAAAGTAGCCATTTACTTTACAGTTGGCAAATATTTGGGTATTCTTTTTTAAAATGTTTTGTGTTTACTGATTTTATAAAATACTGGGTTTCAGTGTGGCATTTTGTTATATGCATATAACATACTTTGATCATAGCTATCTCCCCTATAATAGTTGGGCGTACTTCTGCACCATATTTAATAAGCAACTGGATCTGGTTTGTTACTTTTGAAAGCGCTACTCCAAATGTGACTTTTGACACAGAAGATACTCTTTAGTGATATGTTACACATTATGGTAGAAAAATAACATGAAACATGAGAAACGTAATTTATAATATGAATATTTGTGAAGGAAAAATTTTACCTAATAGAGTAAACTTTTGTTTCAAGGCATATAAATACAAATGAAAAATTAAAAGTTCTGGTTAAGAGTTGAAATATATATATATATGAATACTATCTACAAACATATCTATATTATTATGTAATATTAACAAATATATCCTTGCATAGTCTTAATATATTTGTGATTTCCTCTAGATGAATGAGTTCTTGGCTATTGGGTATTCTTGATGAAACTGAGGAGAAAAGCAAGCTACACCCACAAGTCTGTCTAGAGATTAGCTAATGAAACAAAGCTGTGAGGGGCTGACTCTTTTATGAGAATACTGAGATGTGAGTTATAATTCAGTTTCTCTGCCACAGTAGGTTGTTACACATAATTATCCTGAGACCTCATCAAACCTAAGAGAAAGGCCTGACACACCATAGGAAATTAGGCTCTGTGTGCTTAGTAAATGTCCCATCACAGCATGGAAAAGCAAGAAGCTTTGCAAGCTGTGATTTTATGAAGGTTTTTTTTTTTTTAAAAAAATGCTTCTCTAATATTAGAATTCTGAAAGCTGTAGTTGAATAGTCATTCACCGTCTCACTTACCCTTACTTATGCCTCAGATTTACATTGGCTTATATCTTAGTGACTCTAAAATTAGAAGTCCTAAGAAATCAGCAAACATGAATGTACATTTTGGTGTTAGTCATCACTAACAGGAAAGGTGAAGGCTGGTGGGAAGGCTGATTAATTACTTTAATTACCCAAGAAATGTGCCCTGCCCAAGAGGAATAAGCCCTAAAGCAGCTTCAACTGATCAGTATACACCCCATCAGGTTTAACTCTTATTATTAATAAATTTGTGATTTAATTTGTAGTCTATACATATTAGCAGAAATGCAAGATGAGTTGTAAACCATGGTCACGTAGTCAGACATAGATTCTGACTATAGCAAACATGTACTGCTTAAATTATTTGCTGTCAGAAGTAAGGTTCTATCAGTGTCAATACTAGAACATTCAGATAGTGAGATCAAACTGTTTTAAGAGAGTAAGGAGATTATCCTAGTTCAAATACTGCAAATATTGCATAGTTTAAATAATGCAACCAATTGTAATAGCTCATTCATTGCAGATTCTAAATGTTTTTGGGGGAAACATATGTGCTCTTAGGAAAATTTTCCCCTGACTGATATTTTGCCTTCTTCTCAACTGTGATTTTGGCTATAATGAATACTGGAGTAAGATAGTTCTGGCATTCAACTGCAATATAATAAAGGCTATTAATAATGAAGCTACCTTTAAAATGATCCTGGAACAGTATTCTCTATGGCAAACATCAACAAAAGCCTGATATCTACGTATCAACAGGTTTTTTTTCTTTTCTGATAAGCAGCCAGAGTGGCAAATATCTTCCTTGTAATTTTTTTTTTTTTTTTTTTTTTTTGGTTTTTTGAGATAAGGTCTCACCATGTAGTTCAGGCCGGCCCTGAACTCACTCTGTAGCCCAGGCTGGACTTGAGTGCCTAGTATCCTTCCACCTCAGCTTTCAGAATGCTGCCATTACAGGAGTTTGCCACCATGCCTGTCCATTGATCATTATTTTAGTTTTGAAATACATAGTTGACAAATGGATCTAAAAAAGGTGTTTCCCTTAATTCCAGCAATTTCATTAGTTTTGCCTTTTTATAAAAAAGTGAAGCCCTAGGCATCTCTAAAAAATGGATGACTTTTGAATAATGTACTTCTTAAAATTAAACATCAAAGCCGGGCATGGTAGCACATCCTTGTTATCCTAGCACTTGGTAGGTAGGCTGAAGCAGGAGGATTGCTGGCAGTTTGAAGCCAGCCTGAACAACATAATGAGAATTCATCTCAAACACCCCCCCAAATAAACAAAAAACCGAAAATTAATTAAATGTAAGAAATACTAAAGTCAACCTTAAATGTACAACCTTTTTATTCAGTCTTCATTAAACAATTCAGAGATCTATACTAAAACAAAGACTATAATATTTAATAGTTTTCACAGAGCCCTTCAGTGAAAGTTTTGGGATAAAGAAACAATTTCAAAGTAAGCTAGCCAACTCTGTGAATTAGTACATATTTGTGAGAACAGTCACGCACATACAAGGGAATTATCCTTCCCAGTATAGATAAAACACACAAAATATGGGAAATTTTACAGTAAAAACAACCACAAAAAACGAGTAAAACTAGTAGGAAACAGCACAAGCTTGGAAACACTGGAAAAAATGAATTACCCTTTTAAAATGTAAAAACCTTACAAAAGGAAGAAAACTGCTTTTCTAAGACTCAGCTCTCCCCTTGTATTAAATATTTTTTCCTCTGTAACTTTGTACTGATTTTTCCTCTTCAGAGGAAGATCACCTTGGGTATTTAGAAGTTTACATTTCTGTTAATTGCTACTTGTACTATAATACAAATGTCTATGTCCGTATCAAGGTTTAAAAATAAATTAGGTAGTAGCTCTAAAAAAAAGTGTTAATGATGTCACAATCCCTGTCATATTCCCTAATGACTGTAAATATATCTCATGGGTATATACTGCTAAATGACTTAATATTTGTAAAAAGTGAAATGACTAACAAGTCAAGCGAACAGAGTATTGAATTTATAGGGCTATCTCTACCTACCTAGGCCTCAAGTATTCTGCTAAAATGGTAAAAAAAAACCAGTTTATGAAAATTAAAAAGGTAAATATTGAGATCAAGATTTTTTAAACCCCAAACCAGTTGACCAAATGGACACCATATATATGGATGCTAATTACCATAGGAACTTGGAACATAACTGAATGAGATTTTCTAGTACTTATGAAAAGCCCACTGCCATGTGTTACTCATTCAGATCAAAAGGTCCCTTGACACTGATTTTTGCCAAGGATCTGAGAGAATTCTGAGGGTCAAATTTAGGGCTTAAAGAGTTCTAAGAAATAGAAAGATATTGAAAGGTTATTAGATCCCTTCAGAGGAAACTTAAGTAAACTTGGGATTATCCTACAACTATTCCAACAAAATTATTACAGTAAGGACCATGCCAGAATTATTGCTAGTCCATAAAAAGTAAGATACATGAGGCAACAAAAAACCAGATAGTCCCTGATTTTTTAAGGTAACATAGCTTCTAAAAAACAATGCTGGTACCACCAATTTACTCATCCTGTCAGGTCTAACATTTCAAAATTATTCCAAAAGAACTGAAACAATGTTTAATATAATACAGCAGTCTATTGCCTCTAAAATAGTATTTTGTATTTTGAATGGTTTACCAAAAATATGTAACTTTGAGGTAAATTTGTTATATAACCAAATATTCATAAAACAGTACATTAGCATTTTAACAGGTCACCTTTTAGTCTTTAAGTGCAGTTTTCACAGGTTTACTAAATTTTTTAAAAATGTAATTAACATATTACAGACATTTCAATATTGCTGCATATTTTGTTATCTTACTTGGCATAATGTAATCATTTTCAGTGTTACTTTTGCACATTTACAGTGACTTAAAATGAACAGAACAACTCCCTCTCCCCTTTACCCTCAATTAAAAAAAAAACAGAAAAAAAAATGAAAAAACAATAAATGAGATTAGGTTCTAAAAGGGAAACTAATCAATAAAGTGTGGGGATGCAGAAGTCAACTTTCCACACTCATACTCTACACTACAGAATTTCTACACTAGCGAATTAACTTTATGAGATACAGCCAAACTTTCTAAAACCTTTCAAGAAGCTCCAGTGGATTTCTGGATTTGTTCTTTTAAAATCAGGATACTCTGCCTTTGCTCTGGAGGGAGCATGGCAATCTGATCTGCAGTTAGTTGGAGAACCTGCATGATCAAAGCTGCTTTTTCTTGATCCTGTGGAGTTACCTGGCTCTGCCCAGGACTAAAACTGCTAGGCTGGCCTCCACCTTGCTTGCTTGCCCCCTGCATGCCCACCCCCTGTATGCCCGCTCCCTGCATGCCCGCTCCCTGCATGCCCGCTCCCTGCATGCCTGCTCCCTGCATGCCTGCTCCCTGCATGCCTGCTCCCTGCATGCCTGCCCCCTGCATACCACCTCCAGGATTCCCCACTCCTGATATGCTTGGGACCTGTCTAGGTCCCTGAGGGCCACCTGCCCCTATATTAATGGGACCAGGTCCCTGAATTCCACCAGTCATAGGGCCTCTAGAACTAGGTCCAGGGCCCCGCATTTCCAGTCCTCTTGCATCCATGCCTCTTGCTTCCATCCCTCTGGTTTCCATAGCACAGGTCTCCATTCCTCTTCGTTCCATCACTCGGGACTCTAAAACCTCAGTTTCCATCACTCGAGTGTCCATCCCTCGAGACTCTCTACCTCCTCTACCATCCATAGGTAGACCTCTTTGATCCATCATAGGTCCTCTGGGCTCTCCAATGAGCAGTCTGGCATCTGCTATTGGCCCTCCTCTCATATCATGTGCAGAAGGGCCGCGGTTATCATGACCAGAGGCATGGTGGATAGGAGGACCCTGATGGGGTGGACCCAGATAACCTCTGGGTTCTACTTCTCCAGTAACCGAAAGCAAAGTCCCTCCACGTGGGTCATTTGGAGCATCTCCTAATAGTCCTCGAGGAGGAAGGCCAGCAGCAGTCATGGGGCCACGAGGTATAGGAGCTCTAGGATCTGCCATTTGCACTTGTCCCCGCTCTAAAGGGACTGGGCCGACCCCTGGCATCCCAACCTGTGGCTGCATCGCCCCTCCAGGAGTTAAGGAACCAGGTCCAGGTCCAGGAACTGTAGCTGCTATGGGCCCCGGAGCTGGAATTCCACCCTGGATAGAAGTCTGCATCAGAGGAGGAATGTCTTTCACCGGTCTTCTTGCCAAATGCTGAGGCTGAGGTGCTGCAGGATTCTGTTGGTTCAACAGAACATTGGGTCCTGGGCAAAGTGCAGGGCCAGGGCCAGAAACAGGGCCAGGGCCAGAAACAGGGCCTGGGCCAGAGACAGAAACAGGGCCAGGGCCAGGGCCAGAGACAGAAACAGGGCCAGGGCCAGAGACAGACTGAGATTTGCCTGGGATCAGTGGAGTAACATGTATCTTACGATGTAGAATTTTCAGGGCAATCTCAGGATCCATGATTCTCATGACCACCTGTGCCTGCAACAGCGCATAAGCCAGTTGTGGGTTTTGAAGTAACATGTTTCGAGCTTCCTGGTGACTGTTTTGCACACAGAGCTTCATCTGCTTCATCAGCTCGAACATCTGCTCTGGAGGAAGACTGGCCACTGCTCTGGTAATCGATTCGGGAGCGTCTTCTGGGTCGATGGGATCCCCATAAGGGGAGTCAATGATGGGCGCTGCAGGCCCTAGGCTCTTCAACTCCTCCTTATTCTTTTCACTGGCAGCGTTGTCCACCCGCAGCGCTCTCCCGCTGAACTCGCGCCCATTGAGGTTCCGCATGGCACTCAGCGCGGTCTCCTGGTCTTGGTACTCGCAGAAACCATAACCCTTGGGCTTTCCAGTCTCTCTATCGTATACGAGCCGGAAACTGACAACGGAACCCACCTCCGAGAAAATGTCCTTCAACTGCTCCTCAGTTGCCTCATACGGAATGTTCCCCACGAACACAGACCGCAGTGATCGATCCATTGCCGGGTCTCTCACTGACAAACTCGACATGATTCTAGTTTTCCTCACAGCCGATGGCGGGTTCTTCCAAGAGTTGTCCTCTGCGACCCACGCTTCCGCTGAGCAACGGAAGCGCTTGTCAAAATCCGGGCAGGAAACTTAGGCATCCACTACAAGAGTTCCGCTTCTCAGCGGAATATGCGTCTAAAGGTCTCACTAATGCAGGTCTCACTATCGTTTTCCTTTCCTGGTCGTTCGTTGGTGGTTCTTACTGAGAGGTATGATTTTCTTTTCCCGATCTGTTATTCCGCAGACTTTCCGTGCCGCCCCACCCCCATCACAACAGGCGCCATTTAAATTGACCACAGTAAAAATGGCCGCACAGAGTTCACTATGGTAACCGGGAGCGTCGGCCTCTTCTGACGTCAAAGGCAGCCTCTGTCGTTCCACTGGCGGGAAACCGCCAACCGAACGCTGATTTGAGTGTTCTTGGGTTTGATAAACATATTTTCATATAGCACTTTCTCTTTAACAGAGTTTGCAAAGAGGGGAAAGTATAGTATTTAAAAGATTTGAAAGCTGCATTTTGAAATACAAAATAACTCTTTAGAAAAAAAATTTGTAAATTAACTGACCGGACTACTCCCCCGCCCAGTTGCTTCCTCTAACTGCAGTTAGAAGGTGGCTGATCCTTCCAGATTTTTTTCTGTGCACACAGGTAGTCGTCGTCCTTTTTATATTGTGTGGGTCTTTTCTTAATTGATTTTAAAACTGATTAGTGACTGATAATAAATAGTATTTTGCGGCTGCAGAGTATTGGTTAATTGAATTTATTTAGCCATTCTTATATTGTGGGCATTTATATTAGTTCTGTTTTTACTGTAGACTGTGATGTATGTAAGTCCACCACTGCTACCATGAAAGGAAAACTACTTTCTCTTTTGCTGCTGATTGAGCAAACAAAAGTTGAAACAAAATGAGTGCAACCCCACCCTTTTTCCTCATTTAGCACTACGTTTTTTGTTTTTTGGTACCGGGAATTAAGCTCAAGACCTTAGGCTTGTCAGGCAAGCGCTTATGCCGCTGAGCTACACCCCCAGCCCCTTTTCCCTCATTTGGAACTGAAGTTTGGAGAGGGTTAGGTTAACTGCTGAAGGCCAAGCAGCCAATGAAAAGGCAAAGTCAGAATTTTTTTTTTTTTTTTTTTTGCTTGCTTGCTTTTCAGCATTGGGGCTTGAACCCAAGACCTTCGCACTGACCTACATCTACAGCCCTTCTTTTATTTTTATTTTAACACAGGTTCTACCTACAGTCTCCAGATGGCACTCAGTTTTGTAATCCTGCCTCAGCTTCTCAGAATGCTGGGATTATACAGGCATGTGCACCAGCATGCCGGAATTCTTATCTAGGTCCATCTTTTTTTTTTTTTTTCTTTTCTTTTTTTTTTTTTCTCTAGGTCCATCTTGCATAACCCCAAAAATGTGCTACCCTATATGGTAAAATTTCTAATATGGCTAGTGTGATCGAGACATTGAATTTTTAATTTTTATTTCAGTATAGAAAGTAATGGTTAGTTAGGTTATTGGAACTTTAATATTTGATATAATTTAGGTATAGAATCTATGCACAGATAAATGTTACTAATTTTAAATGAAAGTTAAGTGTCTAACTGGCACCACAAAAAGAAACCTTAAAATTTAGATTTTTTTTCTCTTTGGAAACAAGTGACTTCTCCAGATTTCCTCTGGCCTAGGGCATAAAAGTCTACCTTCATCTCACAGCAGCCTAAATGAAGGGACAGAATATACAGATGCTGCCACCAGAAGGTCAAGTCCAATTTCCTTTCCAGGGAAGAATGAAACAATCTTGAAGATATCTGTTGTCTCATTGTATCCCCTCCTCTGACTGTTCCTTGCTATGAAACACCACAGCACATCTGTACAATGTGAGATGGTGATTTGATATAAATGGGCCCCTACATCTTTTCCCTAGTTTTGAATAACTCCTTTTTCCTTTTTACCAAAATTAAATGGTCTTTGATTTGGTCAAATGGGAGCAAACGAACCTGAGTTTATGAACATAATTGTCCTGTGACATTTCCAATTAAGATTTAGCATTCTAACTGAGGTAATACACATAAAATATAAAGGCTTTCAGGGATCATTTCTATAGTATGTTACATATAAAATACATATAAGATTTTGAAGATTAACCACAACCAAAGTAGAAGTATTTTGTTAATGTTATGTTATTTACACGTTGAATGTGTGATTATTGGACTAAATTGTTTTTACCTCATATCAGTCATTTGATCTTTTTAAATGTATCTAGCAGAAAATTTAAAATTACATACATGGATTGAATTATATGTTTCCATGTATAATGGTCTGCACTGCTTTGGAGCCTATGGCTTAAGTTCTAAGAAGAAAATCATTTGATTCTAAATATGCCACTTTGCAATAAATAAGTGGGTTTTGGGTTGTAGTTTGGCACTCAGTATCAATGGTTTCCCATCACTATTTTAGACAATAAATAGTAATCATCCGTTGAATCCAGTAAGCATGGAGATGATAATAAGCAAATAAAAAGTAAAATTCATAGAAAATTGCACAACTTATCTGACAGTTTCTCTACTGCTTGGAGTGATAGTATCTAAACAAGTGGCCCTTGCTCCTTCGCATACATCAGGAGTACCCAGAGCCACCCACTGTTAAATTGGATTCTGACTTAGTAGATCTGTGCAATTTGCATTTCTAAATAATACACTGATACTTGTGCTGCTGGTCTGGGAACCTTTAGAACTCAGTGGTAAGGACTTCAAGTCCTTATGGCCCCTTAATTAGCACTGGTGTGCCTCAGGATATAACTCAATGCCCAGGATATATAAACTAGTATTTATAAGCACAGTGGCCCAGTATCACCAAGAGCTCCTAGGAACCTGTATATTCTTCCTAGTACTAGGGTGCAGGGAAAAACACACAAGTTTCTAGGCCCTTACTTGAAAGAACATTTTATCCTGCATTTTATTCCCAGTAAATTTAAATTTTTGATATTTATAGCATGCCATACACTCTAAAGAAAAATGTATTTTTTTTGTTTTTTGTTTTTCTCCGGTACTGGGAACCGAACTCACGACCTTGCGCTTGCCAGGCAGGCGCTTTTGCCGCTGAGCTAAATCCCCAGCCCCTGTATATTTTATATTTAAGTGTGATTAATTCAATAAATCAAGATATCAAGCATTTTAAAACTGATTTTTAAACAAACACATAAGGTATTACAGCCAAATGGGGGGTGTCCTCCAAACTAATCACTTCAGGAACTATAAACTTCAGACACACTAGAAGATCTAATTCAAAAAATATATATCTTATTTCAACAAAAAAACCATGATTATACAATTAAATCACCCAAATATCTAATAAAATTTGGCCAAAATGTAGTACTTAAATATTTCCATATATCAAACTTTATATCAAAATATAAAGACTCTATAGGTCCTCAAAGTCTATATAAGTTATTAAAATATTTTTTTAAACTGGGCATGGTGGTACACACCTGTAATCCCAGCACTCAGAATGCTGAGGCAGGCGGATTGTTGTGAGTTCAAGACCAGCCTGGGTTGCAAAGTGAGCTCAAGTCCAGCTGAACGGCATAGCAAGACCCTGTCTCAAAAAAAAAAAAAAAAAAAAAATTAAATCACCATAAATTTAAGTACATAAACTCTGGACAAATCGTAAAGGTGTTTACATAATGACTGATTTTTTTTTCCGGATTCTGGGAATAGAAGCCAGACAGGACCTCATACATTCTAAGTACATGCGTTACCATTGAGCTACACCCCAGCCTCAGGGACATTTTTGAAGTAAGTGTATGAACTCTTCAAAGAACAGCTGAAGCACACTCCTCTGCAAAATTTTTCCTTATCTTCCTCCTCCTTCCTCTAATTTGGAAGTGATTTCATTTTCCTTTAGATATAAATTATTCCTTATCCGTATCTTTCTAGGCGTAGCAATTCTTTGCCTTTTAGTAGAACTGTGACTTTGCTTCTGTCACTCAAGGAAATATTGAGTTTCCTTTTTATCACTAACAAAACACCTTATATTTATTATTTCAATAAGTATTGGCAGTTCATCAGTGTAAAAGAAAGTCTACTAGAGTAGAAGTTCTGTAAATGTGGTCCCTGGCCCTATAACCTCAACATTATTGCAAAACAACTTAGAAATGCAAACTTCTGGGCTCTACTCCAAACATACTGGATCAGTAACAGAAAAGTGCCTTTTGACAAGTCCTCCAGGTAATTCTAGTGACTTCTGTGGTTGGAGAACCTCTGGACTACAAGGAGACAGTCATAGCTTAGACATACAAACTCAGGTAGATACTTCGTATGCACCGTTGTATTCTCAGAAAGTACAGTGAGCTTAGCACAGGTGGGTGCTCATTTTTACACTTGTTGAATGAATGATAAGTGACTTTGGAGTGTGCTAATTGATAAGCCTCATTTTATCTAGGAGGAAACCCATGACAGTAAATAACATGCTGCAAGTCATAGAAAAGACCTGCTACTAGAATGCCCGCCATTTCATTCCTAGGTTAGTCATAGCTCTTCAGGTTACTCTCTGACAAACTGTATTTGTAATTAAGTATGTAGAAAAGGAAGACTCTGGTAAGATCTAGATCATCAAGGAAAGCTTCCTGATGGGAATAGGATTTAGGGATGGGTTATAATCTGGTATAAATAAACAAGATGCAGAGAAAGTCTAGAAGCTAGAATTAGCCAAGACATAAAATTAAGATCTGGTATTTTTATGCCTTCAGAGAAAAACAATTGAAGTTGATAAGATATATAATAAAAGAAGTTTCTGGGTGAGATAGCAAATAGTTTTGGAGATTAGATTCCTGAAAATATACTTGATGTGAGAGACAATAGGCTTTCTTCTTCATCATCTTTTTTTTCCTGACACAGGACATAGAATAATAATGGTAGAGGCTTAAGAACACCTACCTTAGCCAGGATTGGTGGTGCACATCTCTAGTCCCAGCACTTGGGAGTCTGAGACAGAAGAATTGCCAGTTCAAGGCCAGCCTGCACTGCCTAGTGTGTTTAAAAGCATCCTGAACTTTATAGTGAGACCCCGTCTCAAAAAACAAACAAAACAGAGAACACCTATTTTATTATCTAGTCCTTTTTCATGTTGTATTTCACATCTGAGTTCTTCCTTTTTCTTTTTGTCCCTTTTCTTCCCTTCCCCTCTCCTTTCTTCCCCTACCTTCTTTTTTTGCAGTTCTCTCTGGACTCTTCTTGATAATCTTTCCTAACAGTTCACCTGAACCATGGCTGTTTTTCTTCTTCT